TATTTTTTTTTTTTTTTTTTTTAAATAAAGATTTCAATCTCATTTAGCACAGTCATGGGCTTCTGATTTGGTATGCTAATCGGCAAGCATGCATGAGACTTTTAAGAGGCCCAAAATGCCATTTTCAAACTATTCTATTTGATGAAATAGTTTGTATAATTTTAGTCAATAGCTTGAATTTTTGACTCAAAAGTTCAATCAGAGAGTCATTCTCCTAGTTACCAGAAAAAGAAGGAAGGCACTGATAATAAAAGCAATCATGCTACACTACCAAAGATGTTGAGATAATGTCACATGACATTTTATTATTAGACCGTTTAAAACATAGTCAAAATTTTCATTCAATCATAATTTGTCCCGTGTTCTAAAAAGCTTGCTTAAGCGCGCCCATGCTTGAAGCGAGGGCAAAACGCCTCCCTTCGCACCTAGATGCATTTTTTTTTCCAATTCTTAAATGGCTGAATTTTCTCCTTCATTTCTTTCATCTTCCGTACATGCACTTTATTAGTTTTTTAAAAAAAATTTTAAACTTTTATTTGACTTTAGCTTCTTCTTCTTATTATTAAAAAAAAAAAAAATCTTTTGATTTGACTTTAATTTCAAGCTTTTAAAAGATTTTATTTGTATAAAAGTTAAAAATGACTTTATCTAAATATCTAAATAAGATGTAAGTTTTGGTGTTATCTACATTATCTAATTATGATCTTGAGACCGATTTATTACAAACTCCAAAAGCATGTACGAAATTCCTATAAAGCTATTAAGTAGAACTTGTCTAGTTAAATATTAAAACTATGAAAAATATTCTAATTTTTGCATTTCGAAAACTTGAAAATTGTATAATTGACTAATGTAGGAGTTAAAAAGTAAAAACTGTATTTTATAATTTTAGATGTTTAATATGTATTGTTTTAATTATTAAATAATTTTTAAAATGATTAAAAATTTAAAATAATATTATAAATAATAAAACATTTATTTACGCTTAATCATCTCCTAGGCTCGCTTAAGCTTGTAAAGTTTGAAACTTCGACTCCGCGCCACGCTTTACGCTTTTTAAAACAATAATTTTGCTAACACCCATTATGTTAAGACATCTATTTACATCTTTCTAGCAACGCGGCTTTACCTAATAAGAATGAATTTCATCTCAAAAGGTTAGAACTTGGCTAGATCTATGGCCGAGCAGTGTGCATGGCCACATGCTTACTTTAAAAGATTCAATAGATATATGGTTCGTTTTGTCTTAGCGTGTTTCTGGGAGGGAAGCTTTCAAGTAAAAATGAGCTATACGTAATTCCAAAAATCATGAATAAAAGGCAAGTGAGTGCCCAAATTTACTCAACTAGAAGGCATGCATTATATGCTTTCTTCCAAACATGAAGTAGGACACAACATTATTAGTACTAGGACCGTCTCATAACAAGACAACCCAAGTACACAACTTTCTTAAGTCAGGGAAAGTAACTTAAGTGAGCTCTTATAGAGCAACTAGAAATAAATTTAATGGCAAAGATACCAATATTATTTGAAACACCACATCTATGTAGGATCAAGGCACAAAGATGCCATTGTATTTTCTTGCAGCCTCTCTGCAGTCAATTGTTCCTGTATATTGCTCCTCCTCCCGTTTTGGTTGATTTATTGCTTTGCCTCCATAACGCTTACGAGCCTCCCTGCTGTCAATTGTCTCTTGACGGTCCTCTTTCCTTGGCTGTGTCAAGGGATGTGGACTAACTTGTGGTTGCTGTGCATATTTAGGCTTCGGAATTTCAGAAGTCTTACCTTTGCCATTGTCATGTGCTGTGTTATTTTCCGTTTCATAGCGTGGATCTTTAGTAGGAAATGTGTGATGTGGTTTCCTACCATCAGGAAAACCAAATGAAGGGTTCCCACCGGCTTTTGGAGAATCGGAAGCATAACCAGTGTCTGATTCTGGTTTGCTCCTTGGAAGACCAGGCCGAATTGGCCTATTGTTTGCTGTTTCGTAGTGCATGTTATTTTTCGGTGATGTGGAGACAGGGGTACTATACTGCGGATGCCTTCCAGTAGTAGGCTCATACAAAGGCTTCCAACCAGATTTTGGGGATTGAGTGTCAGTTTCTGGCTTGCTCTGTGGAGGACTATAGCGAATTGGCCAATTTCTTGCTGTTTCGTGGTTTGTGTCTCTCTTTGGCGATGTGGAGACCGGAGCAGTATGTTGTTGACGCCTTCCTGCCGGAGGAACGAACGAAGGCTTCCTACCGTCACCTTTTGGGGATTCCCTACCATAATCAGTGTCATATTCGGGTTTAGTACGTACCATCTTAGGAGAGTAGGACCCTCCATATCCCCCATGCCTGTCATGATTGTCATCATCCGATTCATCAGTACTACTATAATCATCATTTCTTGAAACGGAGCTAGGCTTCATACGGGCTATAGAGTTCAATGGTGCACCCTTGAGACGCTCCTTAGGAGGAGAGCCATAAGCCATGTTCCGAGGAAATTGAGGGTGGTCATCTACAACACCACCATGGTCTTCGAATAAGTTTATTCGTGGAGGACTATATGGTCCATGGTGATCATCTGTTACATAACGAACGCCGAAAACTCTTTCCTTTTGTCTTATATGGCTCTGTCTCTCAAGAGCGGCAGAATAGTTAATGATAGAATGCTTTTTACCTGTTTCCCGCAATTCTTCAGCAGATGGTTCTGTTTTTCGGCGGTTGGCGTTCCTTAACCAGGCCATGAATTTGAAGCACTAATTCTGCTATGGACTTGAAATTTCTGCACCCTTGTTCCCAAAAAATTACTAGGCCTGTGTTTATATAGAGATTAATTTTGTTATAACACATAAAAATCCAATGTAGTGGTGATGGTATAATTCTAAGATTCTTCCATTATCTTGAAAAGAATCAAATTCTATATAAAGATAAAAAAGTGGATGGAGTCATTTTGTGTTGCACTATATAGATTGGAATCTCTCTTTCAGTTCCAACAAGGCAGGAATAATCACTGTTGCACTTATTAACTTCTAAAGGAACTCTTTTGCTATGTGATAAGATAGCAATATTTAGTTTTTGACAATGGATATTACTCTAAAATTTAATGAATCTAGTTTGGTTGAGCTAGTCTAATGTGCCATGCACACAATTCACTTAATTTTGGGTGTCGAGCTTAAGTTCAATTTGAGCTTACTACCCCATCCATAGACCGAGGAAAGTAGATTTAATAAACTTATTCATTTCAAGCTAGTCTAATGTGCCACACACAATATTCACTTTAGGCGTCGAGCTTAAATTCAATTCAAGCGAACTATCCCATGAATGATTAGAATGAGTAAAGTAGATTTTTAAATAGGCAAATTATTAACATCAACTTTGAACGATGTATGGTAATCAAATGGAGTTTAATAGGATACAAGTTATTTAGCAAGAAGTTGAAAGTTCTCATATATATATATATATATATATATATATATCAATTACTTGATTAATAAGTTCATGGTAGGTTCTAGAATTTATTGATTCATCATTTAATTAATGTGTCATGTTATCACCAGTATTTAGGATCTAACATATGACACTAGCTTCAGAGAATGTCTTGCTTAAATGGATGAATTTCCATCCCTAGAAAGCAGTGTACAAGAAAATTGTAACAAATTTTTCTTTGGACGTGAAGGTATGCCTTCCTTTGGAACTTTGTATTCTACATTGTTGAGGTTTTTTTTTTTTTTTTTTTTTTGGGGGGGGGGGGNAGTTAAAAAACCTGTATATGGCGCGAGAGCATCCTGTGAAGCAAGGAATGAGCATCTCGCATAATGAGGCATCTCAAAGACTAAAGAATAAAAATTGAGTTAGTGGCTCGTCTTGAACTATCGGAGATTTATAAGCTGACCTCGAATCTACGAAGCCTTATAGTTGTGCTCGACGGTAATAGGAATCACAAACTAGAGACATAAGTGTAACCACTCACATGGTGAAGCATTTCATGAAGTAAAGAACAAAGAGCATCTCCATAAAGTTCTTTAAACTTGAAGATACTTTCTATTTTAAAAAGTCAATTTTTAAAATAATGTTCCAAGAAACTCTTTAAATTAACATTTTAATTTAGAAAATGAGTTTGGATAAGTTCATTTTAGGTCCTTGAAATTGAATGATCTACCAATTAATCGGTGTGTCGTGCCACTGGTGCTTAGCATATATTAAGCATTGGAGATGATGAGATCATTTCTATTATATATAAATAATCTAATAAGTATTAGTGCTAAACATATGTGATATGACACATTAATTCATTTGTAGATAACTTTATGGTAGATCTTAAGATTTAAATTAGATTTGTTTTCTACTAGTGGATTGATATACCATGTCGACATTGTATAGCAATATGAGTATTGATGGTCATTCAATCATTTCTCTTTCTCTCTTTATATATACATAAATAAATACGAAAATGATTTTCGATTGTGCTACATATACATCACTACCTATATATTAGTTTACATATACATGTTGTTGTGAGATATGATCCAATTAGAATTTCTTCAACCAAATGAAAATGAATTTCTTCAATATCTTCTTGACTTCTCGTCTATGTAAAACTTTCTGTAACTCGTTATGTACAAGTAGCTTTATTCAAAAATTTTATGCGTAGAGATAATTGGCCACGAAATTTTGTCATTGGAATATATTACCAATAAAAAGCGTGTTTTTAGTATATGGAATCTAGTGCTCAATTTCAAGAATAATATTATATTCCTGTCATTATTTTTATGACTAAATAATAAATTTACATGGATTTAGATTAAAAAATATCCTTGAAATATTTCAAGTAATAGATTACTACTTAACCTTAATAGACGGTGACAAGGAAATAATAAAATGTTCTCAAAAAGGCAAAAATTTAAAAAAAAGGTAAAAAAGAAAAATGAAAAAGGATAACAAGCTCGATTAGGCCAAAGAGGAGTCCTTGGACGATACTTATTAGTTAACATCATTTTTTTTTAAAGTATAACATATAAAGCAAGAATTGTTTTTAAGATGAATTTGGAACATGCATCATTTTTGGATGTATTGCTAAATGATACTTATCTCACACAAGATATGTCGAATTTGAAACAAAAAGTGACACATCATGTCACTTTTAAAATAAAAAGTAGCAAGTACTTTACAATTTTCTTTTAATTATAAACTAATTATAATTAAAAATATTAAAAAAAATTTCTTAATTTTGGGTACTGGACTTAATTTCCTCAAGAAAAATGCTAACCTTGCTAAATTAGTAAGTAATTTTTCTAGTCATTCGTTTTAGAGTCAAGCTACATGTATATAGGGGAAATTTCATAGATATTTTACAGATAACACACAATAGTGGGATGTGTGGTTTATTTTTTGTAATAAAATATTCACATGGATTCGATCCCCATACGAGAGCCTGTAAACCTTTTGTGGATTTTTTTTTTTGTACACGGGAAATAATCCTTCATTTTCTCCTTGTAATTTTAAGGTTCTCTAAACAAAAACGCTACAGTGCAAAAGAAAAAATCTAAAAGCATTGCTTATCTAAGGCAAAAGCGTTATTTAATGTAATCATGCACTCCATTTCAACCGGGCCGACATTGAAAGAAAAAGGGAAATCAAGAGTTGGAAACTTGGAGCCCGCATCGCTAAAGGGGCCTGCTCGAACACTTCAAAAAAAAAAAAATGAAAATGAAAATTAAGAGACTTGTTTGGCTGGCTTTTACAAAAATCGAGAAAAAAAACATTTCTAACATAAAATAAAAAAGAATAATGTTATTTGGAATCGCTCACTATCGCAATAGTTTTATGAGACATACATATGACGATTAGTGATTTGATGCATAAAACAATAAAAAATTACCTGTATCAAATCGTCGCATGCATGTCACGTAGAGCGATTATGACAATGAACGACTGCAAATAACATTATTTAATAAGAATTATCAGCGACTAATAAAATTAATTTTTCAGACTTGCCAGTGAACTCAACAGGAACGGATCAGCGAAACATGTTTGAAGTGAGATTATAAAAATAATTGTAATTTTAAAACCTATTTAAATATTTCTAAAAAAATAAAAATTAATTTTATATATCATGAAAAACGTTTTAAAAAAAATCAACATTTTTCTTTTATTATTTTCGAGAACTTTATTGCTAAAAGAATAATAGCAAACAAACAAGACCCATTTCTCAATCTGCTTATCTTTTTCTCCTGAATTTCAATTCCAAATTTCCCCCACATTCATTTTCAGATCTACATAATCAATCTCCCTTCACTATGGATGTCAACGAGTCAAGCCGAGCCGGACCGAGCTCGATTTTTGGATTTTTTTATATTTTTTTAATATATACATCTTGTTGCTTGTTTGGCAGTTAATTTAGCTGCCAAACAGGCAGCTAATCTGCCATTTTTCCTCTTTTATTTTTTTTATTTTATTTTATATAATAATACGGGCCGCCCCAGCTCGAGCCAACTCTAAAAAAAGAGGCTCGGTGCCTCCGAGCCTCGAGCCGAGCCGGCGCCATGAGCGATCCGAGCCGACAAGCCCGATTACGATCCCTACTCCCTACATACACTGAAACGCACACACTCTTCAAAGAGATACATGCCTAAGGACATGGATTCCGATCTCGGAGTAAAATCTTCTCTCTAGCTGAACATCCCGTTTCAATATTTTAACTATTTTACCCAGTGTTTGTTTGGTTGGTTGTGCTTGTGTGTGGGTGCATTTTCTGGGTTTGCAGAGATCATCGACTAAAACTACGGCAGCTTTGAAAGCCTAAATAGATAAGCTGCAGCAGCAGCGAGATGAGTTTCAAAGGATTGCTTTGGGTAATCATGTTAACACTTCATCTTATTTGATTGCAGCGTGACAGTTATCATTATTGTATTTTTAATTCTAATCAAAATTTATGCCATCAAAAGCAAGTGAGACCACAACAGATACATGAGATGAAGAAAAAAGAAAAGGATTACATTAAGTTGCAGGTATGATGTTTATTCACGGATTACAATCCTTGAAGATGTAACTATAAGTGTGCAGAGGATAGTTCTGTCATAAAGGGGCTATCTTTAAAAGCAATAGCTGTGAATAGGTAGTAAACATACCATTTCTTGCAGGAGAAGCTAAATCAAGTAATGATGGAAAAAAAGAAAGAATCTAGATCGGGTATGGAAATTATGAATCTATTACAGGTAATAGTGCACTCTTAATCCTAGTATTACCTCCCTTTAGATTATGGACCCCTGTTTACATGATCTTTAATATGCTGATAGAAAGACGGGTGGCAGCGTGGAACATGGAATGGGAAGAAGGCTGACAATGGCTTCTATAAAAAGATCGTATGTAATATGATTGACTTGTTTAAATTTCTGTCAGCCCACTTAAGTTTTTCTGTAACTATGAGCTGCTAGCGGGTGGATGCTTATGAAGTGAAAAACCAAGAACTGGTGGCTGAGAATGCTTATTTAAGGGCATTGCTACGTTCAATGCAGGTAACTAAAAGCTAGATGAATGGAAATAATATGAGATACATCTTAACCCGTGGGCTTTTCTTATTCTGATATATATATTTGCTTCTATTTGTTAAATAATTTATACACATATAAAGAATTGGGCTTGCACTTGCTTTTCTTACTATATACGACCTGGCAAAGGATCTAACGGTATTGAAGTTTGTGTTTATGCAATTCTGATTCTCTATGTTTTTCTATTTGTTCAAACCTCACATGTGCAGTGCATGGATGTGTGAGTGTATGTATTAAGATGGGTGATCTATAATTAGAAAAAGGA